TAGATTCTGGGATAGAGCATTCTAAGAGAGTAACTTAAGTGGCGGAAATCAGCAATTAACAAAATAAACAATTTCCTGTTAGTTGCCTATTTGGATTTGGTGAAAAACAATGTAAATCAAATACAACCATTTGGGGGAGGCTGGAAAATGGAGAAGGAGGAAAGCCATAGGGAGCAAGTAGATTTTAGGGTATGAAAATTAACATACTGTGCTTTTGAAAACCTAAACTGAATTGTGACAGAAGCTCTTTGAGCGGGCTAAAACAAGCAACTATGCTTTGGTCTTTCAACAGTTATCTTGTGTAGTCTAAAATGTATTAGCACAAAGTAAATTGGGGAGTTGCTGATTGGCCATTAGATGTTTCTGACCTAAATGATCCAGGCTCCCTATCTATCCAGACAAATTCATTTTGTTATCCAGCTACTGCCTGTTTAATTATTTACGATGTGCCCACAGGTTTGCTGGGCATATGGTATCTTTGTTTCCCCCCATTCAAAAAAAAAATGTGTAAAGTCAAATGCATATATTATTTTTAAGATCCAATTAAAAAATGGTTACTGAGTGTTTGTTATCTGTGAAGAACTGGTAAATACAGCCCAACTTCTGCCTGCAAGGAGCCTAGTTTACTTAAATCATGGGCCAAGACACATATAAAACTTTTATTTCATTTAAATGTGTATAAGAGATGTGAAAAGGCTGCTTGTTGTCCATGTTGGAGAGCTCAGTGTCAAGACATAGGTAAACATATTAGTATAAAGATAGTAAAAGTGTTTCTCCTACACAAGATACCATGATAATGGCAATAATTACATTAAGAAAAATAAGGGCTGCCACCTTGGGCAAGGTCAGACCATTGGTCCCTGTGAAGCTGCAAGCCCTGGTCAAGCAGCCACAACAGGTGACTAAACAGCTGCCTGGCTATATTATCTGCCAACTTCTTCCACCAGCAGAAACAGAGATTCTTTTCCTTCTTCCAATATCTCCTACATTTAAAGAGGACAATCAAATCCGAGGTCCCAAGTCACTGATGCTGCCTTGACTACACAGAAAATTCAAACTGCCACTGCAATGTGAGGAAGCAATGGAGTACAGCCATACCCAAGCAGGATACAAGAAGTAGCTCCAGCACCTGGGGCACGGGGTTAACCTCTCTGAACTCTGATTTCCTCCTGTCTCTGTGGTTAGCACAGGACCAAGTCAGAGAATTACGGTAAGCACTTTTCACATGTTTTGCATGTAGTGCGTGTTTAACAAATGTTGGCTACTGTTATTGCTTCTAAATACCAAAATAATGCAATGGCTGAATTTCCCACTGATTAAAAAAGAACCAAAGATCAATGGTTGCCATTTTCTGGGGATGAGGACCACAAAGACACCTGGGGGAGATTTCTGAGGTGATGTTAGTGCCCTATATCTTCATGATGGTGGTGATTATATGACTGAATGTATTGGTCAAAGTTCACAAAACTGGACACAAACCAGTGTGAATTTTACTGTATATAAATCATACCTCATTTTTTAAAGTATCAACCAAAGTATTTAACTAGTTCTGACTAAAATAAATCATCCACAGCAATAGACATTTTAACTTCATTTCTTTCTAAACTTAAACAGAAATCTAAGGCCTAAAATGCTACTTCATATTTTTAGACCAAGCTCTTGAATTCAAGGATTGAGCTATTTGCAAATAATGGATGCCATCTGAACAATTAACCAAATTAACTGTTTCAAAATAAAGCATAGATTATATTGAATAGAGTGATGAAATCAATTATGGAAAGAGAAAATGAAAGTGATGTTTTCATTTACTAGATTACTTAAGATGACAAACATAATGGCTTCTTCTCTAAAATCCAGTAATGGGCCTTTGTAAATAATCGCAAAAGTCTACCGTTATTTTCAATAAGCTAAGGAAAAGTAGAAAAGTCTGGTGATGATTTCCATGATTTCTTTATCATCTCAAGGTATTTGTAAAAGGTTCTATAATGCTGCTCACTCTGAATTTTAATCAACACTGTTAACATAACCAAGGAGCTCTTTTAGTATAGATCTGTGCATCTATTTTGGCAGAAAATATGGTTTTACAACAATTTCTTACTCAACACCACATTTACAAAACAGATGCAGTACCAAATCAATTATTTTAAAGGAGGAATAAGATTTGGGTCAGCCTGCAGTGTATTTCTGCATATGCCCTGCACTTTAGCAACAGTCCCTTTTCTTTGCCCACCTTATATCACATTTAGGCCATTATTTCTCCCTCTGATTTAAGGATCTCCATCAAAGAGGGATGTCAAGACTGTAATGAAGATGGAAGCTAGGAGAGAAGCACAGTTCAGAAGCCCAACATTTCAACTAATACGACCCCATATATACTGGCCTCAGTTCCCCAGGTAGCATTCACTCCCTGCTATTCCCTCAAGTCCCCAATTACCACCTTGCTTACTAATCTACTCCTGCCTCTACTCAGAGACCACCTGACTGCATTCATCCCTTATATTAAAAAAAAAAGAAGGAAACCATGGAAACATGTCACTATCGCTTTTTCACGTGGGCTTTAGCTTTTTATTCTCTTTTTAAAAAAAAAACAAAAGTGAAACGTAATTTCTGCCATTCACATGACAAAACTATCTGTGCAGTATTCATTGCTTTATGAAATTTGATGTTAAAGACTTTGTTTTCTATTAGGATACTGTCCTGATGCTGGAAGTTATCTTCAGAAAATACCACAATACATTCCAAAAATCTTGATGCTCCAAGGCACCAATTCAAGGGGAAATATACCAAGTAGTTAGCTATTTAAATATAACATCCTCTCTTTCCTGTAACCCAGTCTTGATCAACTTTCAACACTACTTCCATAATTTTCAGAAGTTTAAGAAAATGCAAAGTGAAAATAGAGGCAAGAAAAAGGAGTATGTCAAGCCTTCTTTGGAGGTACAATACAATGAACAAACTATGACACTGGTAAATCCAAAAACAATTATTTTATAAATTAACAGAACTCAGAGAAAATATGTACTTTCTCCATTCATTCAATAAGCAATTTATTGAGCTGCTACTACGTTCCTGGCACTTTGTATCTAGGGGTACACTGGTGAACAAGAAGCCAAATGCCTTCTTTACAAAGAAGAAAAATGACAAAATATTTTTGAAAGTTTCAGAATTCAACGTAAGTTATTGATATCATTTCTAAAATCAGTGATTTTTGAACAATTAATCATTTCCCCCATGTGCTTCTAGAGCCTTCAATGAAGAAATGATATCCATTGACAAGTTCCCAATTCCACATATCAGAAATACTAACAAATCATCCTTCTTGCTCATCGCCCATTAATGTAAAATTAAAACAAACGTTTTTGTAATTCAGTAAGTTACACTATGAATCTCACTATGAATCTCACTAATAAAGTTTGATTTTTTTAAATGCAAAAAGTTCTCAAAACAATTAAAAGAAAGGGGTTAAAATTAGGTAGGCTGGTATCTATCTTCTCTGGAATTTTCACCTCAAATTTTATTAACACCAAAATGCAAAATCACCACAAATATTTTATGACAAATAAAAACAGAAATGTCACATAACTCTGTCAATAGGATTAACATGCACAGTTGAAAGCAACATCCATGGAAACATAAGCCACAGAGTAAAAGAAAACGTAAGTCACTAAAAGCTATGTATGCAGCAAAAAGACACTTTACTTTCCTTAGTTTATCTCTAAGTGTGTGCTGCAGGTAGTTAATACACTTGATCTCCAAGCCCTTCAAATTGTGTCCTTGCCCAGACATAAACTGTGCAAACAGATGACAAAGCGAAATGCAGTTTCACAACTGCCTCTTACATAGAGTAGCAAGATGGTATATTTCACTAGATGACTGCATAAGTTGATAACACCATCAGACATTTTCACAGTACTTGGACGATTTCTGTAGGTCCAATGAAATTTCAGATATCACTGTAGCACGTTCTGCCCTCTCTCCCACCACTTATCAGCCACAGGAAGGGTGGGTGCAGCCTGTCAATTTGCTTTGCTGCTCCCTGTCCTGATAGCTCCTTGATTTTCAGAAAGCAATGTTTTCATTTGCTCCAAACTTGAGAATGAGCTGGTCTTGCCTAAGGCTCTGCTCTTCTTAGCTCATCAACTTTTTGGTTTTTTTTGCACTTCACGTCACAAGAAGTATTTTTACCTAGCGGACCAAAATGTAACATTAGAATGAAACCAACACAAACTCGGGAGTTCCTAATATCACTTCTTGAGTTTAAAATGCTCAAAACAATCGCTTTCTTCCGCTAACACTGTGCAAGCAAAGCCAAGCAAACTGCCCAAAAGAACTTCCACAGAACTCGAGGCCTGCCTACTGCAGCAAGGAAAAAGATTAAATCATGTGGAACTGTAATCTCTCAGAGCTTTCGAGCCGAAGAAAGCGGAAATCTGCATTTATGTTCAGAAATCTAGTCTATTTTTCTTTGTGACTTAGTGACCGGAGACTGGGAGATTTTGCACCCTCCAAGTGTAAACATTTGTAAGAGACAACTAACTAGATACAGATCAGAAGAAACCTATTAAATAATCTCTGTTCACCCTGTGTTCGCCGCCTGGGATTTTTAAGAAAACGTTCTCACATTTCATATAATCCCTATCTGTGTTTAAGATACAATAGAAATCTTACAGGGAGTCTGTTAACCAGACTAGGCTACACCTAAGAGTATGCCCTACCCAGGCAGGTACAAGGCCCTAATGCCAGACCAATCCTGGAAGAGGTGACAGCCCCAAGTTCAATTGAGGATGTCTGAGCACAGCTCCCCCTGCACATTAGGGATCACCTCTCCATTCTTTCCACATACCATTTGCATCCAATCCCCGCTCAACCACCCCAAGCACCCATGCTCCAGTGGTTCCTGTTAGCAGTGGGCTTCCTCCTTCCACCACCACTCCCCCAGGGGGGAAAACAGACCCCAAGGACGGCTGACGGTGGGCGATGAGCGCCCTTCTCCCACCTACCTTGATGATGCTGCTCCGGCGGGGCAGGCCGCCCGGCTTGCTCTCCCGGGGGACGGGACAGACAACCGCGCTGGGGGTCGGGGCGAGCGCAACGCCGCGGGGTCCCCTGGCAGGGCTGGCCCGGGCTTCGTCGCCGGACACGCCGAGGCTGCAGTCTCCGTTGGAAACCCCGCCGCTGTCATAGCGCGCCCGCCCGTGGCCGAGGCGACCTCCCCCGCCACCGCCTTCCCCTACTCCGGCTTTCAGGGCGCCCTTGGCGCCGAGGGCCGGGCCCGGGGAGGTGGGCAGGGCCCCGCCGGCGGCGCCCCCCCGGCCGCACTCCGCCATGGGCGCCCCGCGACCCGCCTGCACAAAGCCGCGTCCTCGCGTCCCCGCGTCCTCGCCGCCGCCTCGGGCCGCCGCGCGCGGCCCCTCCTCCTCTCCTCCTCTCCTCCTCCCGCCGCCGCCGCCTCGGCCGCTTCTTCCGCTTTTTTTTTTTTTTTTTTTTTTTTTTTTTTTTTTTTTAATTTAGATGTGATGTTTGTTTCGAGCTCTCGCCTTGTGCACGGTTAAAGTCGCGGCGACAGAATTATCGAAAGATTCCTGCAGCGGAGAGAAGAGAGAGACGAGTCAGCTCGGGCGCCGGCGGAGCCCCGGCTCCCGGCACCTGGGGAAGGAAAACACGCCCCAACACACGCGCCTCTGCGGGCGCCAAAAATAACCCGCGCGGGCCGGGCGCCCACCCCGGGGCAACCCGCGCCCACCTCAGGGGCCCCAGGCAACCAGCTCGAAGTAACAGGGCGCCCACGTCAGGGGCTCGGGGCGCGCTCCCCCGGGGCTCAGAGCAACTGGGGTCGGAGCACCCGCCACGCAGGAAAAGGCGCCCACCTCCGGCGAAGGACGAGGGGAAGTAGCGGCCGCCCCGACGCTCTCTGGACACGCGGAGGCGGCTCCCGAAGGTCTCCCGGCCCGGGCGGGCGGGGGGCGACGCGCGGGTCTCTCCGGACCCTAACTCCCCAAAGGCCGCCGCGTGCCGAGCTCTGTCACGTCCCTCAGAGCCCCGGTTGAGGCCCGCGGCGCCGAGAGGAAGCGCACGGTGGACAGGGGCGGCCGGGTGTGACAATCGCCGTGCGGCCCCAGGGCAGCTCCCGGAGGGGGCAGCCCAGACCCACCCCACCCGCCGGCTGCTGTCTCCTCCTGAGCTCGGCGCTGCCCCCTACAGGCCGCGTGGTCCCTCCTCGGTCGCCCCCTGACCCACCGCGAGCCGCCCAGCTCCCGCTCTAGATTGCCGCCGTCGCGGCTGCTGTCACCGAGGCCGGGTCATCGGGCCGCGGGTACCTCAAAGCCGAGTGGACTGGAGACCCAATTCCTTGCCTATCTTTCGCCTCCCCCGAGCTGCTGCAACTGTCAGTCACCCGCCCGGAACCCCGAGGGGCAACTACCGCGCAGGCCTCGGAGCCCGGAACCAGGGTCCTGGGGCTTAGGATCTCGGCCGCTGCGCCTCATTCCTGCCCCAGCCCCGCGCACTGAACTCGTTTCCTTCCCACCCAGCTCGGGACGCTCCTCTCTGACTTCCCCAGTGGGTCAGACCCATTTCATACACTGAAACCAATTCCGTTCTGTTGGGCTCCTGATTGATTCAACTAGCTGGAAGGATGCTGAGGCAGGGGTGAAGGCTGGGGTGGCTGGCAGGCTGTGAGAGGCAGAGGACATCAGCAGAGCCTATTTCGTGCCCTCTGAGTCTCCACACAGAGATTTATCACTGAGACCTTCCCGATTCCCCTACCAGGGATGCCGGCTGGCCCTGCCTGCCTGCGGGGCCCAGCCTAGGTCAGGCTCATCTTTTGGGACAGGATCCCACTTGCAGCGTTACAGTCAGCCCCTCCTCTGGTTCTCCGGCACCCACTTAAGGCGGAGTGACTGGCCTGAAAGTCCACAGTGGTCGTGTGGCTTCCGCTCGCAAATATCTCCCCTGGATCTCCCTCCCTGGAGCCAGACAAGACCCGAAACTCCGAAGCGTGAGACCCCAGCCCTTCCACCACCACCCCCGCGCCACCCCACGCCCCAGGCCTGGGCTCACCCACCTCTCCATCCCAGGTTCCGTGGGCTCCAGCCTCCTACCCTCTCTAGCACCCCAGCCCTTCCCCAACTCGTGTGCTTTCTTTTCCAGAAATGGAGTCCCCGCAGGGCGCGAAGGAGAAACTGATAGTCCGCAGTAGAGTGAACTTAAAGACCTGACTTTCATTAGCGTGGTGTTGTAACAGACTGCCTAGGAGCCTCTGAGGAAATGGGCTTTACGTACGTATACATACTCGCCCTTGCCCCTGAAGCGACATAAAATACTTTCATATTATTCTTGGGGGCGTTTTAATTCTTCAGATCCTCTGGATTCGTGTTTTTGTAACCCATCAGACGAGCTTTTGTACATTTCTTTCCAACCTGGGCCTACACACTAACAGAAATAATTTTACATCGAAGGACAATGCTTTAGTGTTTTATTCAGTCTCATCTCTTTTCTTTTTTTTTTTTTTTTTCTAGTTGTGTTTCAAAAAAAATTTCTTTTTCTGTCTTGTGATAGTTTTGGAGGAAAAAATATTGAAATAATTCAAATCAGGCTCTTAACTCTGCTTTATTAAATTTATAGTCATAGTAGCCTGTGAGTATGCTTCGGGGGAGGAAAAAAAAGAATGCTGGCGTCTTTATTCTTCAAGTTCCCTAATTTGGATATTTTTAATAAACACCCAGAGGTGTCTCTGCCTTTTCTGTTAGTATCTAATCTTTCCTGCATTTACGAGTCACTAGTAAAATGCTATGACAGCCATAGATCCGGTGGCTCTCACTGTGAGTTTCCTGGGCTGAGTAGGGACTTAACAGAGGTTTAACCCCCAGGATGCTTTTTTATAGAAGCACCAGCTGATTCACCAGTGCCCTCCAAAATGAGCACCTATCCATCTCACTCTGGACTCCTAACAGGTCAAACCAGGGAGCTTCGTTGAAATAGACTTGACATTTAAATTAAAATGTTTCCCAAAGCATCTTGGCAGACCTGTAACTAATGATGCCAGAGGCCCAAGGCCTGTGCCAGATTCCTTTTTATCCCCATAAGTGCTTGTCTCCCACAAGCCACTGGTCACACACCTGCTGATGTTATAGCAGTACTTCTTTATCCCACAAACAGCCCAACTGTAGGTACCATATCTCAGACATGGTGAAGGGAAGCAGCATGTTCTTCTGACATGTGCAATGCTTGGCTCACAACAGTCTTTTTAATAAGCTAAACTCAGATTTTTCATCACAAATAGTGTAGTAAGTAATTGTTTTTCCTCATTCCTGCTTGTCTCTCTGCAGTCACTAAGTGGTTGCTGTCCATTCCTCATATTACACAAGCAATATTATTGAAGAAATTGTAACTATTTTGCCAAAATTCTTGCTGAAGTGTTTTCATGGCATTGTGAAATTCATAGAAGTTGGAGTTAGAAAAAGAGCCAAAATATAATAGTCACTCCTCAGCAAATATTGTCTAATGGTTCCCTCAGACATTTCAGAGCAGGGCAATAAAATATAGGCAAGACATTAATAAAATGCCCATTCTAAATAGCTCCATGATGCTTATGCCAATTTATTTTATCTATTTGCTAATGGTTGGATTCTGGTGAGCAACCTGCTCATAATATTTAAAGTAGATACCTTTAAAATCTCACTGTATCATGCCAACAGTACATGGCTTTGTCGCTTTTAAATTTTCTTCATATTTCAATCCATCTCAGATTTTAATCATTGTCACTCTTCACCAAACTGTCTTCTATTTGCATCATCAATTTAATGCCCAGAACTTGAACTATTCAGACTCCCTGTTCCATAAGAACCTTCCTTCAGTCTCTCAAAATAACACTGACTCAGTTTACTGACTTCTTGCCATCATTTATACCCTTGTAGGTTATGAATTCATATCTAGTTTCCAGTTCACAGGCTCCAATATTAGGACTCTCCAACTTTTTTTTCTGATTCAGTAAGTACTTGGCTTTCAGATTATTTTCTTCCTTAATGTATTATGACAATTTTCATTTCTCAAACCTCAATCACATGTTATTTCCTCTATTTCTCCAAAGATGCAGTTCAACCTCTGAGCCTTCATATTCAACTGCTGTTCATATGCTTAACATAAATGCTAACTAGAGCAGAAAGTAGATGACCAAAATGCTTTAAGGAAATAGCAGATTATATCAATGTACTAGTCCACGCTGGCTACTCATTTGCTTCCTGAGTCAATCCAAGGGGCTGATTTTAATCTATTATGCTCCTACAGCTTAAATTATATTTATTTTATCATGATCCTCAACAACAAGAAATATGTAGCAATTGATTGCCTTTTTTCCTGAGCAGTAATGTGGCAAGTTAGGACTGCCAAAAGTTTTCATTTCCATATTTTCCTCTCTTCTGACACTAAAGATCCTTCACCCATTTTCCTTGGATCCATCCTCCACAAGTGTCTATGGCTGCCAAGAAGTTAGGCACTCAGGGAATTACAGCTATGCTTTTCAGCCACTGAGAAACTACTTTGTGAGTTCATTAAGTTTTTTCAGTGGCTATTGGTAGCATTTTGAGGGAATCTGTTAATCAATGGGAATTTGAAAAATCATTCTATCAGCAAAAGGATACAATATGAGGGACTGTATTAATGAGTTCCTCAAAAATAACTGTTACTTATTACACTGGTTTTATAAATTCTCTCTCATGTATTTGATTGTATGTCTACCATTATTTTATTACAGGAGTCATTGCAAACTCAAATGTGTATGGGGGCCAGGTAGGTAATGTAATAAATGAAGTTGGAGGGATTTTTTTCATAATAGCATCATAATTCATGTTTTTTCAACAACGATATACTTTGCGTATCAGAGTAATACTCTTCCTGATTCACTTCTGGCTTTCTAATTTTGTTAGGGCCTTGCTACAAGAAATATTTCACTTTCCTCTTAACTCTAAAAAAGATGTGTGAACGTACTGATAAATAGCAACTGACACCCAGCCAGGTGTAGTATGGCAACATGGAATGTTAGATTCAGGTATTCTGGTGAGGAATCTTATTGCTACTTTGAGGGAATCTTGGCTAAGTGCTGCCAAGACCATCTTATTTTTCTAGAGAAGCCAGATATCTGGAACATAAAACGTGTTATTTAGTTAGTTAGTTCATTCTCTTAAGGGAAGGACATCCACAAATTGAGGTCTTCACGTATTGTTCTTTATGAATTCTATAGAGAGACCTATTTTTTTTCCTGTCCCACCTCCAAATGGCATGATAAGCAAAGCTTAGCAAATGCCTTCCAAATTCTGCATTTCTTTGGGTCTTGTCAATCTGTTTTTTATTGACAGGTTTATTTTCATGAGTTTTAAGAAGTCAGAATATCTGATGACCACATCATTTTACACATCACATATTGGGATTGCTCCCAAACTACTTCCCTTCATCTACCCACTCCCAAATCCCAACCCCAGGAATATTTCATCTCTGAAATCTGAAATTCAGGGACTGATTGTCTAGCCAGAAACTCTGCGCTTTCATCAGTCCCATTCTCTTACTTCCCTCAAACCCACCTGTCAGTCTTAGCAAGACCTGTACTTTCTCCACGCCTACCCAATCCCTTAGTCTATCAGCACCCCTTTTTATACTTTTTCCCCCAGCCTAGCCTGGGCCTCATGACCAAGACCTTCAATTAAACCACATTCTCACTAGCATCATAGATCCCTCACATTCTTGTCCTTCTGCTGTGCCCACCTTGACAATATACAGCTTTGAATAAATCTAACTATGGCTTTCTCCATGCATGCCCCCAGCTGCCACTCTGCTTTGGAAAAAAAATCATATAGCTAGGCTGTGTTACATCTGTATGATTTCTGTCTTCAGCAGAGCCTCTGGTATATTGAACAATATTTTATCCTTTGCTAATCGGCATAAATCTTTATTCTCCAAACTGTTACTCTTCAAATCCCAACTAACCCACTGGCTCTCAATCTCACCAGTTGTCCTAGGATTCTGCTTCACAAAATGCAGCAAAAAATAAACTGCTTTCTTTTTTCCATTCCACTTATCCTTACTTCACCCACCACCCCTGCTGTCTAAGGTTAACCCTAAATCAGAAACCATCTATGTATGTTTTCTATGATTATTGGACTCTTCTGCTCTGATGTGATTGATCTTTTGGGAACAAGGGGTTTTGTTACCCTCTAGTGGGCAGAAGCTGGAATGGGGTCTACCCTGAGTGAGTGGCCAATCCCAGCTTCAATCATACAAGGGCAGGAAGGAGTCAGGGATTTGGAAGACAGCCTTAGACCACTGTCTCTCGGGTCTGGTGCCTTGAGTCTTCATGGGTGATCCAAGGGACTGAGGAGAAGACTAGGACCTCCAAGAGCCAGGAGGGGAAGAAGTTGCCTTCATCAGAAACCCCATGAAGCTGAGCCTGTGGGCTTTGAGGATAGGGACTTTGTGTTTAAATGTGCTTTTATGGTCTAATTCCCCCAAGTTGTTAATAAAGAGGGGTTAGGTATTAATAGCTCCTCTCAGCTGTACCATCATGGATAAAGTGACGGCCTCTGAAAGACAGAGGAACTCGTTCTCCCACCCCCACAGCCAGTGTGATGGCTGCAGCAGCGTGAGATTCCAGGGGAAAGTAAGTCTCTGAGTTAAAGAGGCAAGTGGTAAGCAGAGTAGACCAACCCCTCAGGGAGCTTCTCTTTCCTTTGTAAACCTTGAAGCACCAAGGCAGTTCTTCCAGCTCTTCTGCCTTGCTTTGTCACCTCTCTTGGTCCATTCTCTATGCTTTTTGCTTCCTTCCACATATAAATACATTCTAGACATCCCTTCATAAAAATTTTTCCTCAACTCTCTTTCCTTCTCAAGCTACACCTTCTCACTCTCCATGCTCCTCACACTGAAATTTCTGTCAAAAAAAAAAATTCTTTTCTCTCTGATGTTCACTATATCTTTTTGTTACCAGCCTATTGTAACTGGCTTCCATCCCCTTCTACGGAAACTGTCCTCCCAAAGATCATGGTTAAAATCCTAATCAACAAACTCAATGGCTACTTTTTAGTCATTACCTGTCTTGGCGTTTATGGAACATTTAGTATTGCTAACTCTCCTTTTATTGTTGAAACTCTCTCTTTCCCTGATGAGATTCTTGGCCTGACTGTGCCCCAGGAATCTTAAACTCAACATACCTTCATTTTAATTTGTTGAATCTGCCCTTTAAACATCTGTTTTCCTGGTATGCTATCCATGCTGTAGACTGAATGAAGAACTTAGCATCATCTTCCACTCCCAGGGCCTCTTATTCCAGTTAACCATTGAGGCATTGTAAATCAACTGAGAAGTATCTTTCAAACCCATTCCCACCAGAATGGCCTGCTTTACTGTCTCATTGCACTATTGTCTATTGAATTTCTGCAATAACCTCCCAACCCTGCCTGCCTCTACTCCCTCGCAGCTTCAATCTGTTTCTCAAACCACCATCTGCATTGTCCTGGAGGATCACTACTCAACCCCAAAGTCTCCAACAGTTCACTTTAAAACAAACTTGGTTCCCTTTAGGAGATGCACAAGTTCCATCATAACCTGGCCCAATCTTCCTTTCTAGCATGGTCTCCTACCTAGATATGCTCCATAAATGCTAGTCATGTCGATCTACTTCTCTGAAAAGGCCATGCAGTCTCAACCTCAGTGTGTTTGCTTATGGTGTTTGCTAGGTTTAGAATTCCTGTTTCCCTCTCTCCATCGGAAGAACTCAGAGGCATCCTTCAAAAAAAACACAAATGCTTCCTCCTTTGATAAGATGTTTCTGACTCCAGAAAATTAATTGCTCCTCTAGGCTCTTAAAGCACTTAGTACATACCTCAACAATGGCCTTCATTATAATATATTGCAATTATTTATGTATGAGTCTTTTTCCCCACATGAGCTTGAGATCAACAGAGTATAACTTACAAATCTTTTCTCCATACTAAATGAGCTCATCAGAGTTTGACACTACATAGGATTAATCCTCAAACTCTCTACACCAGCCTAGGACCTGACATATCATATATCCTCCATACATTTGTTGATTTTAATTAATAAGCCTGTTTTAAAATCCATCTTTGCCTTTCATATGCTTATAAAACCTTTCTTATTTCATAAGGCCTCTTTCTTTGGTTCAGCTGAATATGTTTTATTCTGTCCCTTCCAACTTTTCTTCCTGTTTTTCCTTATTAACTAATACCAATAAGTATATCATGTTGCTAGTATTTATGATTTATATATGTATTGTGTGAAAAGGACTGTATTTGATGCTGTTGGGGGAAGGTGACTGGGAGTTTGGGGTAGGAGAAGGGAGGCTTATTTTTCATTATGTATGCATTGCAGTTCCAGTTTTTAAAGTAGTTAAAAATAATAAAGGGAACAGTCCCGGCCCTGCTATGAGTTAGTAAAAACTGTGACCTATCTCTGAGACGTAAGATTAACAAAGCCTTACCAGACCAAAAACATCACCCCTTCAGCCTGGCACACTGCCCGACTCCTTTCTTAATTAGTTGGAAATTCTAACCATCAACAATACACAACACAAGAGACGACACAATCTCCAGAAGGTTGCTGTTAAAATGTACAAATTACCTGGCAAAAGGAAGCTTCCCTAGACAGCTCCCACTTATGCTCATTAGCAAAAAATGAGCTAAATGTCACCCTGTTCTTTTTGGCAGAGACATATGGCACTCACATGAGAGAGAAAAGACAGGTTAATCTTGCTACCCAGAAGGTGGCAGGACAAGGTTCAGGGGGGCTGCCTCCGAACCCTTATTCCAAAAAACCTTAGAGGGGAGCTTGGGTAAGTGAGGAGAGGTTGCAAGCCACATTGCGATTTTATAGTCTGGCTCAATGTCTGCCCTGAGACAGAGAAATACCTAAGAGAAGGGTTGGGAGGGCAATGAGACTTGAGAGAACCTAGGCCTTGGAGAAAGTGATGGAGATGGCTTGTTGGACAGGGGTCAGAAGGTCATTCCAGGGAAGCTGGGTAGCCCAAGCGAAGACACATCTAAGTTCCTCTTCTACTCACTAGTCCCTATGCAAATGTTTCTTGCACTATTAAACCTTAGTTAAGACAAGATGAAGAAGAAGAGGCCTTAAATGTTCTTTTAAAATCGTGTGACCCTGTAAATAGAGGATCTTGAACTCAACTGGGACAAGGACAAGAACTGGAGGAAGTGGATAAGCTGTAGCCACAGGGATTTTGGGCGCCACATAAAGGAAATTGTCCCTGCTCTGACATCAGACACTGATATGCATTACCAACAAGGCTTTGGAATTTCCTTTTCACAAGAACCTTAAGAAGGTAGACAATTATCTACAGGGATGGTATAAAAAGTTCCAGCCTGAAGGCAAAGGTCATAATGAATGGCTCCCTTTGACCTGCTGATTCTGGGTGTTTAATCACAGATTTTTAAAAACTTTTTTTGAAGTCAAATTAGATGTTAGAATTTTTTTTTTTCAGTTTTCTTACTCTTCATTTTCGTGGAATTACTATGTGGTGTGGTGTAATGAAACGTTTCAGCCCTCTTCCAAACACGTGTTTCTCACGGGGGTGTTCAATTGCCTATATACTGTTTTGAAATGGAATACCTTTGTAATCATATATCCCTGCAGTTTGAGTTCACATGTTTCATCTAGCTGGTCCAATTTTCTACCTTTTAAATTAGGTTCACTAGTTTATTTTTATCATTGAGCCAAAGATCTCAGGATGTTCTCTACTTGGGGTAGATTTTCCACTTGAAGAATTATAGAATGACCCTCTTCCTAACATGGTAACTTCTTTGATGCTGTACATTTGCTGTGTTTGTAATAGTTAGGGGCAAGTAAAATGTCTGGTAGAGTACAATATTAATGCTGTTAGAGTACATGGAGAAATTTTAAATCACCCTCAATCTCCAATTCTGATGATGGGTACCTTGGGGTTTTAACTCTATGTTGTATCCAAAATAGTGTTTTGGTTTTTTTTTTTTTTAATCATCGTATTCTCCAGGGTCAAACTCAGCATTATTGCTTCCATAAACACTTTGTACACTGAACCATCTCTATGTTATTTTATTCATCTGTTCCTCTAAGAAGACCTTGCTAATCTACAGTGACATTTCAGCCATAAAAATGATCTCAACTATCTCTATTCTGTCTCTCTTTTCCTTTTAAACACTCAGCTTAAATCTTAAGTCTTTCATAAGCTCTATTCTCTGCAGTGGTGAGTAAACATTTCATTCCAACAGTCTACTCTTCTCACTCTTACTTGTAGAGAAATTCAAACCTTCTGTCTAATTTTGGGTGTTAGGAAGCAGCCTGGCTATGTGACTTGGCCCCCAGACCCGAGATACTCTAGCTGAGAGTATGGATCAGAACCCTTGCCAGTTGGTCATTGCTTGGCATAAGGCAAATCCTTTAAACCTTTGCGATTTCATTTTCCTCCTTGGCCACACAGGCATAAAAATGGTGACCTGTCTCCTGACCTGCCGCCTGATCTGCCTGCCAGGGTGGATGCAGACCAACATTTGCAAACCTTAACGGACAGTGTGACTGCTGATTGGAAAGACAGCAACTGGAGCTCACAAATAATTTCCCCAAAGGTCAATTAGACAGACCCACAAGCTATCTCTGGCACACATAGGAAGTATCGGCCTCATCTATATTTATTGTAATTCCCTTCTCCCTGGTCCCATTAAAGGAGAGTTTGGGGTGCAATAAATATTTCAGGATAAAAATGTCCATGTACCCACTTTCCAGAGCCCCAGCCAGTGACCCCCTTATTTCCATTTCGAATATAATAAAATGTCTGTTCAATCACAGAATATGGATATTTGTTAGTACATACCAACTACATTCTCTTTGCAGTGCTATTGGCAACTGATTCCTGTGTATTACGTTGGCTTGGGGGATTATTTGTATACCCACTCACGCCTCAGCACACAGCATATTATAAAAAGTCTTAGTTTTAAATACAAGCTGATAATTCTGAAGACAATGAAACGTAAAACATCGAGAATACAAAACCTAAATCATAATCTCATCAACAAAGAGCTGGGGTAGCTCAAGAACCGGAGACTGTAATGGGGAAAACCATTTCCGAATCCAGAAAGGTGGGCAAGTAATAGGGCTCATGGGTTGGAAATAAGATTATTCATAAGCATCAAAGTGAAAGAAAGTGTCAGGAGAATTAGGACTTTCCTTGTGTGGCTGGCTTGGGAGCCCTACTTGTTTCTGGCATGCGTGGAATACGGGGCAGAGATGAAACAACAAAAACTTATTTTGTTTCCCTGTGTGAGTCAATTTATAGTAATCCAGCCCTCAGGATGGGACATGCAGGCATCATGAGCTAAGCAGGGTATCAGAGAGGTAGCCTCACATCCCTGAACACAGGCCCTTCAGAGGGAGTACAGAGGGACTCTGGGGTGGGCCTGCTTTGAGATTTAGGTTTCACAGACTTATTTCATCAAAATTGTGTTTCCAGGATTTGGAGGTGAGATTCCTATGAGTGTAATGTAAGCCTTCAGCAGCAGCTATACTAAAAAAGAGAAGTTTGAAGATAGAAAAGCGAAGCAAAGGGTATCTGATCTATCAGTGATAACAAAGAACGCTCACCTTCTTCTGAGCCACATTGTCTCCCTCAGTGAGCGAGAGGGAAGGAGGAATGCCGTGCTGAGATGAGAAAGAGGAGCAGGTGGAACATATTTATTCCCATTGTACAGATGAGGCACTGAGGCATAATCAAAGTTGTATCACTTGCTCAGGGCCAAGTATGGCTCCGAAGTCCATTAACTTTACCACTGTGGAATACTGAGGAGAAAAAAATGCCAGGACACCCTCCTGGAAAGTCCAGTCCAAAAGGAATGGTAGCTATGTGAACACCTCTACATCTCTATTATCTTCAGCAGATTGAGACCCAGTTCAGTCATCCTGGTCAGCTATTCCCTTGCTCGGGGCACCTGGGCTTGGAGAATTGCACTCCACGAATCCCTTCCTTTCTGCTTCCCTTCCTAAGGTCCCTGTACAAAAAGACAAAAAAACACATCGGTGTTCAAATAGTACTGCCATCTTGCGGTATCCTTGAGGGTTAACCATGTATCACAGTGAAGAATCAGTGAACATTCAATATGCACCAGGCACTATTTCAAGAGCTTCTCATGCTTCACCTCACTTAGCCCTGACAGAAACTCTGATAAACAGCTAATTTTATTTTCTCCATTTTACAGATGGGCAGGCTAAGAAGGCACAGAAAAGTGAAGTGACTTGCCCAAGATCTAACCACAGTGAAGACAAGCTAAGGCAGAGAGGAGTATGGGAGAAAAGGTCGTAAGCCTTAAATGCAGTGCACAGGAGCAAACCCAGTCCTCTGTGTTATGAGGCTGAGGGGGATGAGGATTCTTGGCTGTGGGAGAGAGGTTGGGGCAGAGTTGACTTTTGCTCCTGCTGCTGCTGCTCCAGGCAAAAGCCCTAGCGGAGCCTGAGGTGAGTCTCATGGGTTTAGCACCTGACCTCAAGCTGCCCTGGAAGAAGAGTAGTACTCCCTTATTTTCAGGGGATATGTTCCAAGTCCCCAGTGGATGCCTGAGCTGCAGATAGTACTGAACCCTATATATAACACAATTTTTTTCAATCTTATAACTGAGAAGGCTACTGACTAATGGAAAGGTAGCATATACAGTGTGAATATGCTTGACAAAGGGATGATTCATGTCTCCCGTGGGATGGATGGAGGGGGATGTTGAGAGATTTAATCAAGCTACTCAGAATGTTGTGCAATTTAAAACGTATGAATTGTTTATTTCTGAAACTTTCAGTTTAATATTTTTGGATTGCAGTTGACCATGGATAACTGAAACTGAGGAAAGCGAAACTTCAGGTAAGGGAGGACTACTGTAGTAAAGGAACATTTGACATGAAGCGAAGGAGACACAAGAAGAGAACTTTTAGCAGCGATTTCACCCTGGGGATGAGGAAATGGGAAGAGCTCACCAGGGGACTTTCTCAAAGCTGCCTGGCTAGAAGAGGATTGTGTTTTAGATGATAGAATGACTTATCCAGAAAACCCAACAAATCCTCCCCAATCAGCCTGTGATAAAAACAAGTTCAGCATAGTCACAGAACATAAGGAATGAGCAGGACCAGCTACGTAGTTTGCAGGAGCCCTTTGCAAAATGAAAATTCAGGGCCTTTTGTTCAGAAATTACTGAGAATTTCAAGAAGGTAACAATAGAGCATTAAACCGAGTTCTGAGAGCAGGACCCTGTGCGACCACATGAGTCACCCTTGAAGCCAGTCCTTGTTCAAGACATGTCTGGGAGAAGCTCGCCAAGTATAAAAAGAAACTCATAGAATTGTAATTGCAGCTCTCAGTACTAAAGCTATAATGGTAGAATCTGTGCTCAAATAAAAGAGAAACTATAGCAGACAAATATTAGGAATAAAGTAGAAAAATAGACACATGGAAACTATGGAATCATAGGGCAAGGGATTGTAAAGATTCTACTTATACAAATTAATCATATACTGGGAGAGAAAAAATGCACTTGAGTTAGTGCAGGAAACAATAGCATGAAACCTACAAAACCGTATTTTCATATGACAACATAACAAGATAATTATACTTAAATAGGAAAAATGGAATTGCACAGAAACAAATTACACAGAGATAAACATTAAAAATTTCATATTAATTTGTGTAAAGCTATAGTAACAACAAATTTAAATAGCCTGAGATGCTAGCAAAAATGTACTAAAAAGGAAATTTGTCTCTTAGATATACATTAATAAGAAAGTGAGAATAAGAACATCATTCATAAATTCTGTATTAAAGAATTCTAAAATGGAACAATGTAATGAACCAAAACAAAGTAGGAATATATAAAAATACAACAGACATTTTAAATATAAAGGAGGAACAATAGGAATAAACCAACAAAACAATAGTTTGCATGTTGACAAAACGGACAAAATTGATATATTGACCCAATGAAAAAGGAATTACAAGTTAGTGAAATCAGGGAAAAGACAATTAAAACAGCATAGATTTTATTAGGTGTTTAAAGAGTGTTGTTCTTAGATATAAGTGTATAGCTAATTGAGTGATCATGTTCATATGATTTCTCACAAACAGGTAATAAAAGCATATGCAATTAAAAAACATGATCAATTCCTAAAACATACATAGGAAAAGTTAGATATTATGACCCTGATGCAGTAACTGGAGAATTTTAATAAATAATGCTTTATGCTGCTTAAATTGCTCTCCAAAAATATTTTTAAGGTGTTAGGTTTCCTTAGGGAACAATGTTTCTAAAGTAAATCTGTTGAGCCTCAAGCTTGTCAGGGCTAGACAATCATTAATGAAACAAAGGTGCAAAACCTTAAGCAAAATTTTAGCAAATGAAATGTAATAGGTTAAAAAATTGTCCAATATGGAAAAAGCAGGATTTACCCCAAGAATGTATCATTAGTATATTAGAATAAAATATGTAATAAAATTAATCACCAAAAATAAGCAAAATAAATACAGCAAAGTAAATAAGGATTACTGCCTTAATACAGCATAAATGCGTTAACAGTAAAAGCCAAATATAAATACTAGCATAATGTACTTTAAAAGGAAACAATGATATGTAAATACAATGAACAAAATTTTGTTATAAATTCTGTTTTAGCAAGTTAATGCAGCTATGTCTAAAAACTAGAAATAAACAACAAGCCACAAAAGCATTAAGGAATTCAGAAAAATATCAGACAGTTTAACAGAGTCACAAAATTCAGTGCCATTTTTTTTTGTTTGTTTGTTTTTTTACTTTTTAATTTTTAGTGACAGGATCTCACTCTGTTGCCCAGTCTGGAGTGCAGCGGTGCAATCATAGCTCACTGCCACTTCAAATTTCTGGGCTCAAGCGATCCTCCCACCTCAGCCTCCCAAGTAGCTGGGAGTACAGGCGTATACCACCATGCCTGGCTAATTTTTTCAAAAAATTTTTGTAGAGATGGATTCTTGATATGCGGCCCAGGCTAGTCTTGAACTCCTGGTTCAAGATCCACCTGCCTTGGCCTCCCAAAATTGCTGGATTACAAGTGTGAGCCACCACACCCAACCCCAAGGGTATTTCTTTATACTAATGGCACACCAGTAGAAAATACAGAGTTTTGATTAAAACTATGAAAAAAGTTAACAAAAATCAACTCAGAATAGATTGACTAAAAAAAATGTAAAACCCAGATGAAAAAATAAAGGAATATATAATAAATAAGCAAAAATCAGGCATTTGGAAGGTGCAAAATTAGAAAAGATGACAAAGAAAACACCTGAATTTTAAAGAATGCAATATTGATATTGCCATAATGGTATAGTGTGGGATACTGTTACATACTATATTAAGTGATAGTATACTGTACTATTACAGTATGTACATACAGTAGTGTACTATTACACTAAATACTATTACATGAATTAAATGTTTCAAAGTAGTTTAGCCATGTTTGAATGGGTTTAAAGTCTCATTTTTTTATAAAGATACTTCTGTTTATGAAGAAAGAAAAGGAAATGCTATGCTATATTGCAACATGACCACAACAGTTACCAAATTTTGGTTATACAGTGCAATTGCACCACAGCTATCACTTAGGAAAATTCAGCTGTACTTACTCTCATCTCTATTTGATGTAATTTTAAATGCTGCCAAATTGTGTTTTGTCTTTCTCACCTAGGAGTCCAGGAGAAATTAAGTCCCAATTCACTAAGACATCCATTCACAGTATGTAATGTATTAATATTAACTTATTACCTTGGGATCTAGGATTGTGTTAGCTATCA